TATTTTCAAATCTTAACTGAACAAACTGAAGAGAGAAGCTGGTTGGTTGCCATGCACAGCTGCTCCAGATTTTGTTGGCTCCCGTTTTGATAAATTCCATGGAGCCTCTATAGCCGCAGAATGTAATGGGCACGTTAATTAACCGCTTGAAGACCAGGTGTTTAGATCCCCTACCTGGCCAGGCCATTTTGCATTCCCTACCAACAGACTTCTCCTATTTGCTCTCTTTTGTTCTGTTAAAAGAGAACTATGGGGTAAGTGTTTTTCCCCATAGTTCTCCTAAGGATCACGGGAGGACATATACTAGCTACAGCTCGCGGTATACTGTTGAGATATACACAGCTGCGTGAGTGACAGCTGGCTCTGCCTATCTAGAGGCAGAGCCAGCTGTACCCATCCCACCCCGCGTCCGTTCCTCCAGTCAGCACTGGAGGATCAGAACGGTGAGTGACAGTCACGGCTGTCTGCAGGGAGATGATCGAGAAGTGAGCGAGCGGCGGTATGTGTTTGCTCACTTCCCGATCTATTGCGCCGACGTGGGACAGTTTCATTGTCACTGGTTCTCCTTTAAATATACAATTGAACATTATCTGTAATATCTGTTTGGTAAGTGCAAAAAATGCCGGAACTCTTGTGAGCTTATAAGTTCCTGTTCTCTCTGTGCTGATGGTTATCAGTTACATTGTGCTTAGCTATCTTTGAGGAGTACACCCCTCTATTGGAATACCTGCCCACTGTCCCAGTGTTCCATAACATTTTTGGGTATCCAGCAAATGCTTGCACTCCTCTAATGCAGTGTGACCTATCGCAAGGCTCATCAGTAATCTGTGATCCACAGCACTCCTGACCTGAATTCCATAAGATGGATGGGTGCTGGTATGGCCTGCGGATGGCGCTGTGTTATCACAGAAAGAAGTCACACGCACTCCAAGGTCCAATGTGCTGAACGCCTTTTTTTTTTTTTTAGCATGTCATTTTTTATTGAAAAGTTTTCTGCATACATACAGATCATACATTACGAAGTGAAACATCGCCATAACTGAGTGTTGACCAACATCAAGGAACAATCAATCTTTAAGCTAAGCCATAAACAAGCTCTGTAGCCCTCAGGGGGTAGGGGAACATTTGAAATGAAGTAGGGGCTAGACTGGAACACAATGCATACATATCGGAACATGTCAGGGGATGAGAGGGAGAGATAGGAGAGTAAACATAGCAATATTAATAATATAAGGACAGTCCTGGATGGCAGGGCCCTGCGGTTACTATTTCTACAGTGTCTCCGTGTCTCGGATGAAACATCCTCATTAGTGACTAGCGGAGACGCCTGCCTATGGCCTGCATTATTATTACGGCGCCAGGAGCAAGGGCGTCTATGGCATGGCGGATACACCTAACCCCCTTTTTCTTTTATGCATCCTGCACAGCATACAGGTCTTGGGGTCGCGATGAAGGTTGCTGAACGGATGTTGTCCTGTAATGTGGAGACGTGAACTAGCTCCGGAACTGTTATAGCTTTTGGACGGACACTGACTTATTGTGGGTTTTTTTTTTCTCCTTTTTTCTATTTTTGCTGCGGCACACTGGCATATGCCTTGGTATATGTACACTTTAGCTTGAGGTGCTACATTGCCTGACTGTTTGGGGTTTTCGGGATTAAGCTTCCCGGGACAATGTTAATGTTTGGTTCCTTGTGTTTCCTGGGGAAGTGGGGTAGTTTAAATGTTAGACCTTTGGGGAGTGTGTGTTGTCCTAGACTTCACCTGCAGCCGCTGCGGGAACTGTCTGCCTTCAGATATGCCTTAAGGATTTATGGGTTTGGATGATATAAAGGTGGTATCCTGGAATGTCCGGGGGTTGAATAATAAATTCAAGAGGTCCCTGGTATGCAACTATTTGAAGCAACTACAGCCGCATATCATCTTATTGCAGGAGACGCATCTGGATGGGAGTAGGGTGTTGGCCCTGGGGCGCCCCTGGATACAAAGGGCGATACATGCTACATACTCCACGTACTCTCGGGGTGCATCAGTGCTTATTAGCAAATCTCTCCCCTGTACTGTTCTCCACACCATCACGGACCCTGGGGGAAGGTTTGCAATAGTCATCTTGGATATCCAGGCCACTCGTATTGCGGTAGTCAGTGTATATATACCTCCGCCATTTCAGGTACCAGCTCTATATACCATCCTGGAAAAACTTGCACCATACCTCCCCTTGCCGGTGCTTATGGCGGGGGACTTTAATAATATTTTGGACCCCTCTCTGGACTCATCCAATCCTAACAGACCGGTGGGGGTTGACTTGCAGTCCTGGGCCGAGACTGCTATGGTAGAGGAGGTGTGGCGGTGGAAACACCCTGGGATCAAGGCATACTCGCACATCTCTCATACTCATGGCTCCTCGGCCCGGATTGATATGGCGTTTGGTGATCAGGCTATGTTGGGCATGATCACTGGAGCATCATACCTCCCTGGCGGTCTGTCGGATCATGTCCCGCTCTCCTTAACCTTCTCGGTGCCGGGAGGGAGGAGGCAGAGGGGCTGGAGGTTGTCTCCGGAGTGGCTGGGTGAGGAGGGAGTGGCAGAGAAGGTGTCCCCAGCTATGCTTTCCTATTGGCACTTTAACGCTGAAACGCCTCCAGCCCAGGTAGTTTGGGATGCTTTTAAAGCACATTCTAGGGGGGAATATATCTCCAGCATCAAGGCTGTCCGCAGGGAGCACGGCGCAGCACTAACCTCGTTGCTATCAGGGCAGTGGCCTATGCAGACTCTCCTGGAGAGCATGCACTTGCTGCTCTGAAACAAGCCAGGCGTGCCATTAACCTCCATCATGTGGAGCTGACGCGGTACTCCATGCTGCAGTCGAGAGAGGCCCTGTTCGAACGAGGGGACAAAAATGGTAAGCTCCTAGCACTGTTGGTAGCGGATCAGAGGTCGCAAACTAATATCCCAGCCATTCTGACTGACAGTGGGACTAGAATTACAGAACCCCCGTTGATTATGCAAGAGTTTCTCAGCTTTTACAAATCTCTATACGCGCGCTCCCCTGAGTATGACTTGGGCTCCCTTCACGACCTCCTAGGCGGGCTTGAACTCCCGAGGCTGGGGGGTGACGACAGGGAATATTTGGAGAAGCCCATTACAGAGCAGGAGATTCAGTTGGCGATAGCCTCTTTTCCAAATGGGAAGTCACCTGGGCCAGATGGCTTTCCTGCAGAGTGGTACAAGATGTATGGGGTGTCTTTGGTTAACTCATACTCAAGCCTATACAAAGCAACATATCTGAGGAGGGGATGTCCTAACAAGTTTACCAAAGTTTGGGGAGAGTGGCTGGAGTCGGCGGATACGGCAGGATAATGGTCTCATGACTGCTTTATAAGTGAACCTCTGACGATGTGATGTTATGATGTACAATTAAGACTGGGGGTGAGACACTCCCTGAGTGTCTGATCCCCAAGCTTGGCACCATGGTAGTTGTTATTCTCCTGTAAGGGGGGCAGCCACACGCAGTGGGGGTTGGTGGGAGGTGGGGAGACACACACTTGCTAGGGGATGGAGGGTGGGGGGGGACATCTCGCAGTAGGACGGTTCCTATTGCAGATACTGGGGTATATTGTTTAGATATAATGTTATGTTGTTGTTACTTAATGTACTGCACGGATGTGAGGGTTTATGCTATGTTTTGTACGAAAATCTTTAATAAAAAAGAATTTATAAAAAAAAAAAAGGACTTTAATGTGGGGGGAGTTGCAAGCAGCCAGTTGGTCAGCGTCGCCTTCTTTGCCGCAAGTAAACATAAGTGTTCCCATCGAGATGGTTCACGAGGGACCGCTATGTCTGTCGGGTTACACGCATGGAATAAACAAAATACTGGGCATAAGTGTCTGTGAGTTGTAGACATAGAGTTAATGTAATGAAGCACCACGGACCAAAAAGATTGGAAGAGGGGACATAGCCATATTAGGTGGTCTAAATCCGGCAAAGGAGCTTGACATTTGGGGCAGGCCGTCAGCCACTCCGGGGGAGGATTTTTGTAGCGAATATTGAAGGCATAATATGCCCTGTGTATTAATTTACATTGGGTTTCCCTCCAGGATTTGCTAATAATGGCTTTCCTGAGGTTTAACCAGCCCCGGAGTAGCGTCTGGTCCGCCTCCTCCTGTGAGATTTGTAGGAAGGCCGCCCATTTTGTAACCTGCGGGGAGAAAGACCGAGTATGTATAGAGGGCAGGCAGGTGCGCATGGAACGTACAATGTGGGAGAGCGGCATTTTGTGTGAGGGTGCGTCAAGGAGCTCCTGAAGAGGGAGGATGGGTGCAGTTCTGGGGAAAGGGAGATTTGTGTTTATAAAACGTGAGATCTGAGCATATTGCAGGAAGTGTTTAGGACCGATGTGAAATTCATTTTGCATATCCCGAAATGTTTTACAGCGACCCTGGGGGTCTAGTAGGTTTCGGATGTGAGATATACCTCTGGTGTGCCACTCAGCGAATATTGGGGATTCTCTCCCTTGGGGAAAGGCCGGTGAAGATGTAATGGGCATAAGGGAGGAACACACCCCTGGGAGATCAAATAACTTCCGAACCTCTCTCCATGTAACAATAGTATCTCGTAAAAGGATATTATTTTTTATGGCCGGAGGTAGGGATCTAATAGGCGTGTGTAGAACACCTGATAGGGACCAAGGGTATATTAAGCTTTTCTCCAGGTCTGAGTTAGTGAAAAATTATGTGTCATTAATCCAATCTCTAACATGCCTGAACAGGCTTGCTAGGTTATAGAGCCTTACATCTGGGATATTAGCGCCCAGCAACTTCGATGGGAGTTGGAGCCTCCGCAGAGCTATGCAAGGACGTTTCCCCCTCCATATAAACTTGGAGAAGGCCGAATGTAACGTGCGAATATCTTTATGTTTAAGCAAGACAGGGATGGTTTGCATAGGATATAGTAGGCGTGCAAAACTAATCATCTTGATCAACTGACATCTACCCAGTATCGAGAGGGGGAGGTCACGCCAAGAATGGAGCTCCTGGGTGATCTTGTGGATTAGCGGGTGGAAGTTTAGATGGTATAACTCAGTGGCTTTGGAGGAGAGGTTTATACCCAGGTTGAACGCCTCTTTTATTCAGATGTTATACAGGCATGGTGGCACAGTGTAAAAGCAACGTTTCGGGACCGAACATGGTGCCTTCATCAGGCAACCACAGTATTGCAAGGCTCAGGCGTGGTGATAAAGGGAGTACAGTATTTATAGCCCGATGCAAATGCAAACTTTACGAAACTTGGTTAATTAGCTTAACTGCAAAGGTTTTTAAAGTTTTCCTGGAGTTCTGCTTTGAGCCTATCCAATAATGCTTAGGTGTTGTAACCCTTTGGGCGAGCTGTTGTGATTACTCACCAGATGCCCCTGTGATATCCATGGCCTTAAGGTTTCTTGCCTTTATGATGGTGATGGTGAGTCTTCCCGCGGTAGGGAGGTAGCACAGCGAGAACATTAAATCGCCAAGGTCAACATTATCCTACCAAACAAAAAAATATATGACAATGTTATAAAATAAAAAGCACTGAAGGCATGAAATCAATTATTTTATTTCATACACACTGAAGAGGCTGCCTTAGAATCGGGACACAATGCAAGACAATAACGCATTCCTATCAAAAGATGTAACTAAAGAAAGAACTTGGCAGCTCATTTCTGAACATCTTCATTCATTCCTGTGCTGAAAGGTTTAATCATCTGCCGACTGTGAGCCAGACTTTACATTAAATGAGACTGCTCAGAATCATTAATGGCAATTCACTCTATTATTTTATATCATTCATAATACTTTTATATCACATAAACAGACAGGTACATATATCATTTGAATCTAATCATTGAAATCATTTGTGATATTTAATTTGTAGTAGAACACATCCGGTATGGTCAAAATCGGCATCTTTCTTTGCCCGAAATTGCCTGAAGTGATTATAGCTCCAGGAAACCAGCTAAATACACAGATAACATACATAATGAGAGCTCTTTTACCTACCAAATGATTTATATTCCTGTCAATCCAGTCCTGAGATATACATAGCTATGTCACACAATACAGCCTGTGTCTGGCAGGGCAGGAGACCTGACTTATCTCTGCTACAGTTGCGTTACACTTACAGGTCTTGTACCTCCCCCAGCCTGTGACTGTTCCGTGAAAGGAGAAGCAGGAGTCTGATGAGCTTAAATTCCACTGTGTTCTTTCCTTCTATCAGCATGGTCATTGTGCTGCATCACAACTGATTGGTTAGTTGTACTGCTGCACCCCCTCCAGTCTGATCTGTACTGTATAGTACAGATCAGACTGGGAGGATGACAGCAAGACTGTACAGGCTGACACCAAGTCAAATTCTGGCACTTACACTGCTTGCATTGATTTATGTATTTTATATCTGCCCGGTGTTCAGCTTTAACGGTGTTCAGGTAAAGATCCATTTCAAACAAGTACATTTCAAACCATTTCAGATCAGTGAAATACAATGTACTAATGCCACCCTGAAAACATTGAATCTGTGTTAAAAGCAGCAAGCTCACTCAATTTTCTTAAAGGATCAATATACTTTCACAGAGTTGCCATGTAATTTTTCCTTCTTCCCACCCACTGTACATCCTTAAAGTCTTATATTACCCTGTCCACATTCATGCAAGTTAGACATTGTGTGGCCCACTGGCCATAACGGTTCTATACATTTCAGCTTATGCACAGAAAACACCATTCATTCCTATGGAGATGTCGCCTATCATGCATCCCAGCCAAAGATGGCCTATCTATAGATATTAATGGGCTTTTTTCCACACAAATAGTCCTCATGGGGAAAACATCAACATTCCCTTTAAACCTGTGCTTTGCTCAGCAGCACCTTTTGCTGCTCCACCTCTTTGTATAGTTGCCAGGACAAAGAAAACCCTGCGTAAGCTCTAGTTAGCTCTCCAGCTGGATGTCTGTGAAGGTTCTCATTCATCCAGGTCATGGTATATCTGTAAAAAATAAGTCAAGGCAATTGGACATGCTGTATTTTTCTTGAAGATGTTTCACTGGTCATCCAACCAGCTTTCTCAATTCTCTAGCTGGAGTTTACACAGGACTGACCTGCTTTCTACTTACAAGCACCAGCGCTGTCACATGGATTGAAAATTTGTCCCCACCAGGCCTTGCCCTTAGTGCACATGCTTGCCATGGCCCTATTCATTCCCATGAGTAAACCATACCCATGGTGACCTCCAGCAATCCAGTAGATTATGGGTTATCCATAGTTAAATGGGGCCATGGTGCAAATGCCCACCATAAGGACATTTTTGCTGGAAAGGTTGTGCTGCTTTCCGCAGAAGTGCACAGCAAAGATCGCTGGGGCGAGGGGGAAGATTTGTATTTAAGCAAGTGGGCTGCACTTAGGGGGATGGGGAAATTGTTTAAAGGGCAAACTCTCTTTAGGCTGACTACAAGTTCACTTGAAGTACGTAGAGTATGGGTTACCCATAGAATGAATGTATGCATACTAAGAAGAGAAAATTTTTGCTGGAAAGGCTGTGTGGTGCTGGGCAGGGCCACAGAGTGAAGGTTGCTGGATCGAGGAGGAAGGTAAGTATTTAAGCTTGGCAGGCTGCACTCAGGGGGGTGAGGTATATGATTAAAAACTGTCCATAGCCTTGCCACAAGTTAACTTAAAAAAAGATTTGCATTTAACATGCACTCACTTGCAATAAAATGAACTGATGTGAATGAACTCTTAGAGAAGTTATTAGAGAGTGGTTTACCCTAGATTCTGTAACAATGGCACCGTCTTTATTTATGGCTGTTATGCCACTTTCAAATACACTCTATTTTGATCCTTCATGTAGCTGTTAAATAATTTCAAACCCATAAACCGATATTGTTAATAATGCCTGTGCTTCCACATCTCATAAATGAGGTTCCACAGAAAGAGCGCACGCTGACTGTTAACAGAATATCTGTAGAAAGCCCCACACATACTGTGCTTTGAAGTTAATGCCTGTGTGCTTTTGTGTAAATATTAAAATATGACCTGACAGAGGGAATGCATTATTTCTGTTTACGCGATGTGGAATTTACATGCAAGATGCCAATACTGTAGGCTTGTCTTGGAGCCCCTGGGAGGCCCAGCCTAATAGCCAGAGCACTGCTGTGACAAGCCACACATAATACACAAAGGATTAAAAATGTCCTTTAAGTTGTAAATCAGGTGCTGTTATGTCTGCTCTCTATTCATCTATTTACAAGTACATGTAACTCCCAACATCTACAAAGGTTGGTCTATCTAAAAATGATCACTGCTGGTTGAAGACAAAAGTGGGCCAAAACCAAAGATAGTTCTAGGAGGCATTGGAGTAGCATTGGTTATCAGCGCCCGGTGCAAAGCAACAATTGTGCCCCCCTACACCGTGGAGCGTTAGCTTTTCTGTCTTGCAATGCATCATGTGACTTGTAGTTCTGCCACAGCTGGAGTTTGCCTACCCCTGGAGATTTCTGAGATTCAGGAATGATGGCTGCACAGACCAGAATCAATGCACGGCAGGCCTCTGATCAGAACCAATACAAGGCAGACCTCAGACCAGAACCAATGCATGGCAGACCTCAGACCAGGACCAATGCACGGCAAACCTCAGACCAGGACCAATGCATGACAGACCTTAGACCAGAACCAATGCACGGCAGACCTCAGACCAGCACCAATGCACTGCAAACCTCAGACCTAGTAGGAGGCCTTTACATCAAATATAAAATTAAAAATGAATCTTTACTTTCTCTGCCAAAGGATTTGCAATTATCTCCAGCCTCGTTTGTGATTCATACACCTCTGGCAGGTGGCTATGCTATGAGTGTGATACCACTTTTTCTTTGAGAGTCAAGGAATACAGTGGTATAACCTCACTGCTGCCCAGCCTGCTAAATTGACAATGCCATAAACAGCATGTTCCTTGTTTTCACATGTGCAATGTAGCAGAACCTGATTGGCCCTTAGCGCCACCCCTCCTTCTCCCAGTCTGCATGCTGCTGTTCAGGGAATGATAGTAGGTTGATATCAAGACTTTTTTAGGTACATACACTACTTGTATGTAAAAATGAAATTGACTACTTTTAAAGCACTGCACAGTGTGGTGTATGTATATATATACACTGAGTGGCCAGATTATTATGACCACCTGACGTTTGTAGGCAAATTAGCTATAATTTCGCGCTGAAGTTGCTAGAGGGCCAGACCATTATAAATAGGGAAGCAGGTTGTTTACCACGACAGTGGAAGTGATTTTTTTCTGAAGATATGGGTAAACAACACTATTTAACAGCCTTTGAACATGGGATGATTGTTGGCGCTCGGAGCCATGGAGCGAGTATCAGCAAAACAGCAGAATTCGTTAAATGTTCAAGAGCAGCTATTGTTAAAGTGTTTAAAGACTGGACTCTCAGCCGAAAATCTGGGTCTGAACGTGCGAATTGTGGCCATCAGCGACTAGTCAATGTTAGGGCAGAACGGAGAGTGGCAAGACTGGTACAAGACAACAGAAGGGCAACAGTGCAGTGTCAGATTCCTCGCATTACCTTTCAACATCTGGTGGAGTCACGAGGTGGCCCAACGAAGTCATCTCGTGGCCCAACGAAGTACTGATGGGGTGGTCATAATAATCTAATAATATATATATATATATATACACACACCACACTGGTATATATACCTGGAATTTGAAGACAACTCAGTGGCAGCTACATACCTAAATACTTACCTCCATCTCCACTTTTGAGTGCTTCACTGTGCAGCTTTGCCCAGTGCCGCACAGCCTTTGCAGAAAGAAATCCCATTCATTTCTATGGCTGTGTTTCCTCTCTGCTGACATGCTGCTAAGGGACATCTACACTTTTCAGTCTCCTGTCTAGCAGTGCTGATGATTTAATACATTCCTCTTAGAGAAGCGGCAGATGAAGTGACGCACGTCATTATTGGCTCACGTTATCTTCTTCTAAATGCACCACTTCTAGTACTCCTCGTGTCATGCGGAATTCATTTAATTTTAAATAGCCTAAATAGGAAGCTGGCAGTGGGCCAGTGTATTAAAGTAAAATGTTTATCTGGCGGAATCGCCAGCAAATTCCACTTTAGTGCAATGAGTTTCACTTTGCTGCATCCTGTGTGCCACCACAATGCTATTGGTCTGTATGGTATCAAGTGTTGTTTTGTGATCAAGGCTGACATTTGTTTAAAGTAGACCTTTTAGTAAGCCTGGCCATATACTTGTAGCACTCACCCCTGAAGGAGCCGCTGGAATGAATGGGTCTTCCATAGCCTGTCTAGGGAATTAGCTGCCCCAATAGCATCTACCATCCCCTCTGGTGACCAGAAATTCATAATTGGGACAAAGGGTTTAGAGCTTATGACATCCATGAAAAAAATAGAACAGACCTTCAGACTCACCAGTCCCTTTCATTATTCCACAGTGCAGGATCAATAGGAGCACACGCTGACACTGGAT